CAGCCGCCTGGCATTTCAGATGGCACAGAAGTATCCAACGGTGACTTTGCAATGCCAAGGGTTTGAGGAGCAGCTGATCAAGCAAGCTGGATTATTGAGTTGGAGCAATCTGGGCGTTTGTCTGGGGCTGCCAGCCAAGCTTAGCTCCTGGACTGATCCTAGCACTCTGCAGTCTTTATTTGGCTCTATGGCCATTTAAGTCCTTATTCCACAAATGCAGGTAGTCACCAGGTGAGAGAGGGCTGGGTCTGTTGGACAGACAGACAGACAGACAGTCAGGCAGGCAGGCAGCCAGAGGAGGAGGAGCAGCTTCCTGGCTCCCTGGTCTCTGAGTGGTTCTCGCATTGAGTCTCCAGTCACAGAAGAACTTGAGGGACTGGGAATGACCTTTCAGCTCTTTGGAGTGCCATGGTGCCCAGAAGGGACAACATTGTTAGCCACTGAAAGGATTCCAGAAGCAGCCAGAGCCAAGTGAGTTGAGCTGGCCCTTTGTCATTTGCTATGGAGACCTAACCTTGCTTCTCAGAGGCTACTGTGAAGTTGGACACCATCCTGAAGTGCTCTTTAGGTCCCTGACCTCCTTAAAGGACCACCAAAGAACATTCCATGCTCTGGCCTATGTCCACAGAGCTAAGAGCAGACCCCAGGTCAACCCCTGCCCTGCCCAGCTTGCTCCGCATCTTCTATGGCTCCCACTTGCCAGCTCCTACGCTGGCAGATGGCCTCCAGGCTGGGGCTGGCCAGATACCTTCCTCCTCACAGGCTGCCCCAGCGGCCAGGGCTCCAGACTCCCCGAGTGTCTCCGAGCCAGAGGGCTTGTGCTCAGGCCAGCCTGGCATCGCTGCTGCTTCGATGTTGGCCACGAGTGTGCTTGCTGCTCCACCCTCCGAGAAATCCTGCCCATGCTGCCACGGGAAGCTCAGTTCTGGTGCATGCCTGGCTGTGGATCAGGTCACTGTGTGGCATAAATGCCTCTGCTGGGCCATCCAGGAGCCTGACATATCCCAGGAGCTCATTTTGGATCATTGTTGCAGCGTTCTAAAGACAAATACCAGCAACTGCTTTTCCTTGCAACGTCACTTTTGATTTTTAAATCTGTTTGTTACTTTTCTACTAGATCAGTATCATGGTTGGCATTTTGTGACCTCTCCATGACCTTGGAAGTTAGCCTTGGTGTTGGCCCTTTTTCTAGCTCTACCTTAGATGGAGGTGGAGAAGCATGCCTTTTGGGTGTTTTTAGCCACTTTGAAAGTGGAGATGGGGCTTGAATTCACTAACACAGGTCATCTTCATGAGTGGAGGAGGCCCTGCCCAGGATCCGAGCTGTGGACAGATCTGAGGAATATTTTCAGACTGTCTTGATTTTAAGTTGTGTCAAAATCCTTCTCTAAAACCTCCAATGGAGCCCATGGCTTCCGCTGCCACCTGCTCAGCTGCAGACAATGACCCTGGTGCGATGCTTTCTAAGGGACCCTTCCTTGTTTCCCACCAACTGTGGGAAAGCCTGACATCCTTCCTTGCTGCTCTGTGGCCACTGAAGGAGGCAAGCAAGACCCTTGATGAGCAAAGACTCTAGGCCAAGTCCTCTGCTGAGTGGTTTTTATGGAACTGCTCATTTCACCCTCAATTATAGAAGCGGTATTCTTACTAAATGCCAAAACATTAGGAATTTATCAGTGGTCTCCAATTTGGCAAATGGGAGAGGTAGGATTCACAGCTCACTTCTAGGTAGCACATAGCCCTGTGGAAATGTTGGCTATGGGGCAGCCCAGGTCTTCTTCAACCATCACCAAGTACAGAATTATAACCATGTAATGGAAAAAATTCTGAGGAAAACTCAACTCCTCTACTGGACCTAAGGTGAGAAAAGATACAGAGAGAGGGGAAGAGGACATGATTGATCAAAAACACTTTCGTTGGAGTTGAACTGAGACCGATACCCCAATTTCCCACAAGCATGAGCAATAGTTCAAGATAATTGATTTCAGTACTCATAGCTGTCGCCTTCTCTGCCCCACTCCCGTCTGCCCTCCTGGAGTGGACTTCACTGTAGAGCAGCGTTTCTGGTTGGCTTGTGTCTTGGGCTTTCCCGTCATGCCCACTGCCCGGGTAATCAGAGACCAGAACCTGGAAGCCGAGACCGACCCTTTATTACTGGGTGAGGAGAACTGGCTGAATGGTCACGTCTGCTCCCTGTTTCAAAACCTCTTTCTGAGAATGGTCTCACTATTGTTGAATCCAAAGAATATTTTTCCTAGCTTTTTATTTTTAAACCAAGGCCCATAATGTTCCTTATGGTTATCTTTTCCATAAAACCTGCTCCTGTGACATCTCCTTCTCCTAATTCTCTGTCATGTGTGCCTTCCATTTCTCTTCATCCTTTCTCCTGAAACACTCTTTCAATGTCTAGACCTTAAATTTTCTTGGTTTGTAGAAATTTGACTTTAGCTCTGTGCTTTTTAAAAAATACATTACTCTTAGGTTGTTTTCTTTAAATGGATCAATATTCCCTCTAAGATACATACTCCTCTTTGTTTTACAACCTCACTATCTCTCCAACGTTAAGACAATGACAGGGATTGGCAGAAAGAAAACTAAAGCTGGAGCTCTGTGTCCAGAGCAAAGTCAAGAAAAGGATGAGCCGAGCTGTGAAGAGTCAGGAGCTATGACAAATATCACATGGAAGGGACTCAGCGGGAGGTGGTGTCAGCCGGATTTAAGAAAAGGCTTGTTGTAGGTAACCTGGGAAAGATATATGGAAGGTGAGACATTGATCCACGGAGTTTAGGAAGAATCAATGGGCTCCATATTTAGGTTTTTAAAAATTATGTGTGAAAAACTACAGTGGTACCTTGGTTCATGAACTACAGTGGTACCTTACCTTGGTTCATGAACTACAGTGGTACCTTGGTTCACGAACTGAGTTTATTTTATGGTTCTGGGGAAGGCGGTTGCAGTGTGTTTGTCGCCTGATACTGAGTTCACAAATGGAAACTCAATTTTGCGGCTGCTTCTGTTCTAGAACCCAACTGTTCATGAACAGAAGTGCTCTTGAACCAAGGTGTTACTGTCCTTGTAGTTTTATGATCCTTGACTAGAGGGCAGGCTTTGGAAACTGCGGGGTCCCCACCGAGACCCGAGAGTATCTTATTTCAAAATCTCCAGTCTTTTGTGGCTCCTGGCTGTTGGGGATTGATAATACTTCAGTCCTCTCTTTCCAAAGCTCCTCTCTATTCTGTGCTTTGCATGCATCACAGGAAAACAATGGACACTTAATGTAATCTTTCTTTTTGTGATTTTTTCCTAATGCTTTTCAGGAATCCCAACATAACCAGGAAAGGAAAGCCCTGTGGGAGCTCTGGCCCTTGTCACCAGAACCCAGTGCCTGGTGGGCTGCGCCCTAAGGGTGGGGCTGGTGCTATGAATATGAACAGCAACACATCACTCAGTTTTCCCGACCACAGCCCAGTGAGTTGGCCAAAGGCCCCTCCCCCAGTCCAGTGGGTACGCTAAGGCAGTGCATGCCACACAGCCCTTCATGCCTACTTTCTTTTCATTCAATAGAGAAAAAGTTTCCAATTTCCTAAACTATGAATATTTGGGAAAGCAAACCGAAAGACTCCACCAGCCAGG